TTGTTCAGCCAGCTTCTCTTGGAGATGCAACACTGGCTATCAATCCGTGTTTATTTATTACTATACTGCCAAGCATAAGGTGTTGCTACTGTCATCTCAGCTACCGCCGTGTAAGCTGCCATGTCTACAATATTAGGTTTACGGCGTTACTCTGCAGCTTTTAAAACTGTAGTAGATATGAATAAATCTGTAAAAAGATATAGGTAAATCCCTAAGTGATATAGTATTCTACATGGTTATAAAGCAATATTCCAATTAGGTTGTGTTACCAATTTTCATAGAAAATACTTGGGGTTACGACTTATACAGCACGAGCTAATACGGTAGGTGAGATCCGTGGTAGGTATGGGTAGCCTGTGTGTAGATAATGTAAGACTGCCTAGAGATATAGACCAAGTCAGATGTAGATTTTGGAGTATATCTGCGGTATAGACATATGGTCGGCTTAAAGTAGATATAAGATATTCTGCTAGTAGATATATCCTTATCTCACTGCATGCCATAATTCGCCTTCCCCGACTGGCCATGTATGGTGATTAGTTCCTTCCTCCGCCGCCAGACACTGATCTCCCCTGCCCCCTTCACTCGCAGACACTGAATCTCCCCTCCCCTTCCTCCCCGCAGACCACTGAAGTCTCCCCTTCCTTCCTCCAATCAGACACTGATCTCCCTCCCCCTTCCTCCCGCAGACACTGAATCTCCCCGCTCCCCCTTCCTCGCAGGACACTGAATCTTCCCCCTCCCCTTTCCTTCCCGCACCCCCCCCGCCCGAGCCCCGACGCTAAATACTCCCCCTCACCCTTCTTGTGTTCCCCGCATACACTGAAATCTTCCCCCTTCCCCCTTCCTCCCGCCCAGACACTGAATCTGCCCGCCCTTCCCCTCTACCTCCGCAGACAACTGCAATCTCCCCCTCCCCTTTTTCCACAGACAATTGCCTAATTCGCCTTCCCCCTTCCTCCCACAGGACACTGCAATCCCCCTCCCCTTTTTCCACAGACATGCTAATTCGCTCTTCCCCCTTCCTGACAGGCACAACGATCTTCCCTGGCAGTACTTTGAATACTCTTGAATAATAGCATCTCTAATGGTGGCAACCTGATGGATCAAGGCTGCCGAACCTGCACACATACAGATATACCCCGGCTTCATTAAAAGCGAAAGCTCGGTGCTCAAGCGTAGATATCTTCCTTTTCTCTCCCCCCCCCCCTCTTTCTCGCCTCTTTCCTCTCTCTCTCTCTCTCTCTCTCTCTCTCTCTCTCTCTCTCTCTCTCTCTCTCTCTCTCTCTCTCTCTCTCTCTCTCGCTACCCGTCCCCTTCTCTTTTCCATTTCCCCTCTCCCTCTATTTCTTTCTCCCTGCCTCTCGTTTTCAGTCGTTGCCCTTCTCTCCCACTTGCTCTTTCTTCACATCTCTCTTAGTGTGTGCTTGTGTTGTGGTGGTGCGCATGTCGTTTACATTTGCATTCAGCAAGTTAAATCATTTTAATGCACTAAAGAATGTATGTATATTCAGCGCGATTCGTCGTGGCGAGCGTCTGCGTGCCTACCCACACGTGCGTTCTCTCGCCATGATACACTTGTACCGATATCGATGACCGATGATTGATTATTGATGTGCTCCGCGTGTGCAGTTCTGGGCTGCCTACACGAGATGTGAGACACAGTACAAGAGCAGCGTCAGGGGCGCGCTGGAGCAGATTGACGTCATCAAACGCTTCGTACGCAAATACGATGACGTGTTCGAATTCGTCACCTCCACTCAGGGTGAGTCAACCCTACAGAGATCCACTCGTGGAAATATATAGAGATACGAGTATAGTCTAACTAGTATATTATTTCTGGATCCACATCAACAGCTGCTTCCTGCTGCGTCCTCATCCCCATCCTCATTCTCATCCTCACTCTCAGTACCATCCATATTCTCGCCCTTATCCCAACCTGTACCGATATCTCTATCCTCATCCTCATGCCTGTCATCATTTTCATTCTTATCTTTGTCCTCTTATCTCTATTTCCATCTTCATGCTAATCCCAGTCCATATCCTCACTATCATCATTCCCACCATGACCCAGATCATAATTTCCATCTTACCCCATCCTCATTCTCCTCTTCTACCTTCTCCTCCTCTTTCTCCTCGCTCTCTCCTCCGCTTCCTCTTTCTCTTACTCATCCTCCTCCTTCTGCTGCTGCTGCTCCTTCTCCTCTTCCTCCTCCTCTTTTTTCTTCTCCTCCTCCTCATCCTCCTCCTCCTCCTGCTCCTCCTCATCATCATCCTCCTCCTCTTCCTCCGCCTTTTCCTCCTCTTCTTTCTCCCCCCCCCTCCTCCTTCTCGTCATTGTAGTACGGTGTTTTAGCATTGAGATAGAGACATGGGGAATTCGACACACCACCTATACAATCGGTCTAGAGACAGCAGGTGATGGCTCCACCAGACAGTAACTGCCTGCTTAAGAGCTGCATATAAATTAACGTTAACAGACGGCAAGGCCGATATAGTCATTAAGGGAGGTACCTCGGACGGGTCTCACGACCGGTCGAGGGGTACAACGACCTCGACCCTAAACAAGGACAGGTCAAGGGGGGACAGAGACAAATAAAAGGACAGAGTTTCGGGTAGAAGGGGAGACATCTGACTGGTATGTGTACACTGTTGCTATCCGTGTTTACGATAAAACTATAGTTGTCACCGTTTATACAATTGTTACGTACTTCTGTCTACGATACGATATTCCACGCTACATCATCATTATCCTCATACCCACCATCCTCCTCATCAAAATTCTACTTAATTGTCATCGTCTGCTTGCATATAGGAATCCGTGAAGCCAAAGCTAAGGGGAAGATTGCTAGTCTCGTCGGCGTGGAGGGTGGCCACATGATCGACAGCAGCCTCGCCGTTCTGCGCATGCTCTACGACCTCGGCGCCCGCTACATGACCTTGACCCACAGTTGCGCGACGCCGTGGTAAGATCGGACCGTAGAAATATAATTATAGAAACGCGTGTGTGAGGTCGCTGTAGTCGCTTACTCTGGCGCCATTTGCTAAATAACGGGCCAACGTCTCCTGGTCTACCTTGTCACTATATCCAGCGTAGTGGACACCGACAAGTACGAGAACATAACATAACAACGTGATTAGCCTGGCCCTCCTCCATGTGAGGGGCTAGATTAGACCGGACTAGCGCGTATTTAGCGCGGGATAGCGTGTACACACGGCAAAAGTTTAGCCCGGGCCTGTCCCGGACTAGTTTGATGTGGTATCAAATTTGCAGTCTGTACGGGGTACTAGTAGAACTAGTAGTACTGCAGATAAGGTCTATGTCCCCCTGACCTCTGTTTGACTTGGCTCGTTTAGCTATTTCTCACTAATATATATATATATATATAATATGTAATATATATAAGGTTAGGGTTAGGGTTAGGGTTAGGGTTAGTCAGAAATAGCTAAACGAACCAGGTCAAACAGACGTCAGGGAGACATATAGAAAAAGTAAATGCGTACACAATATTATGGAGCCGTTTGATAAAGAGTGTCATATATAATATAGATTATATTCTATATATATATTAATCTATAGATTTATATTAATATATAGATTTATAGTCTATATAATGACCCTCGATCCTGGTTTGATAGATAAGCATAATATAGCATAAGTTGATGACGCATGTTGATGACGTAGGGTAGCACGTAACGTCATTGAGCACGCTGATTAGGCGATGACTTGAGCTGGCCCTCTCTGTGTGTTTGCAGGGCTGATTCGTGGATAGAGGAGAGAGACAACGCCGCCATTCATAACGGTCTCACGACATTTGGCAAGGTAAGTATAATGAGGTGTGCGAGTGACAGCGGACATACTTAGTGATTGCCAATCACAAGATGGCGTTGGATGAGTGTATGACTGCCCATTTCAAGATGGCGTCGGCCCACTTTGCTGCTGCCCATCAAAAGGTGGCCTCTCCTCACTATGGCTTTATTTTTTAGATGTTTTTATATCATAAATCTAGACATCACGCGCGAAACAGTGATAACTGATTCGATATATATATATATATATATATATATATATATATATATATATATAATTTCTGCAGAAAGTGGTGCTTGAGATGAATCGACTTGGCATGCTGGTTGACCTGTCGCACGTGTCGTTTGCTACGATGAGACACGCCCTCGCTACGACATCAGCTCCCGTCATCTACAGCCACTCGTCTGCTTACGCTCTCTGTAACAGCACGCGTAATGTACCGGACGACATCTTGATGCTAGTGGTAGGTAACGCTATAACTATTGACATAACCCACTACTGCAGAGATGAATGAATGAATGAATGAATCAATCAATCAATCAATCAGCCAACCATCCAACCAATCAAGCAACCAACAGGCCAATTAAACAATCAATTAATCAATCAACTATTTAAATATTTACTTAATCAATCAATAGATTGATCGATCAATCATTTAGTCAGTTCATTGATCAAATAATCAATTAATCAATCAATTACGCAACCATTTAATCGATCAATCAATCAATCAATGAATACTCGAGTAAACAACTAGAATGGTTATGACAGGCAGTGATAGCTTGGATTAAGAAATAACTGTCAATATTTTTTTAGAAAAGCAATGGAGGCGTTGTGATGGTAAACTTCTACAACAATTACATCAGCTGCTCTGACAACGCCACACTGGGACAGGTAGCAGGTGAGAGAAACCATTAATTACAGGTGCAGTGTTTATTAATTACATGTGAAGTCCATGATAAATGATGACCATCAGCTACTGCTGCTGCTGCTACTGCTGCTGCTACTGCTGCTGCTACAGCTGCTACTGCTGCTGCTGCTGCTACTGCTGCTGCTACTACTGCTGCTACTGCTGCTACTGCTACTGCTACTGCTACTGCTACTGCTGCTGCTACTGCTACTGCTACTGCTGCTGCTGCTGCTGCTGCTGCTGCTGCTGCTACTACTACTACTTCTGCTACTGCTGCTACTACAGCTGCTACTGCTGCTGCTACTGCTGCTGCTGCTACTGCTGATGCTACTACTATTGCTGCTGCTGCTGCTACTTACTAACTTACTACTACTACTAAATACTACTACTACTACTACATACTACTACTACTACTACTACTGTGCCTGGCTACTACTACTAATAACGAATCAATAATTTAATAATAATATTAATAATACAAAAAATAACAATAATAAAATAATACACATTCATTGCAGATCATATTGATTACATCAAGGATGTGATCAGTGCTGAACACGTCGGTATAGGCGCGCGGAACTTACCGATGGGTTCCCCAGTGAGCAAGCTTATGACGACCTTTTGGTGACCTTCACGAACACACGCACGCACGCGCGCATACACACACGCACACATACAAACACATGCACGCACACACACGCATAATATATATATATATATATATATATATAATCAACAAGAAATTTATTAGTTACTTCTTACATTCCCTACGTTCCCTTTACATTCGTTTTTTCTACATTATTATTTTATTCTGATATCCGTTAATAGCATGTGTATAGTCTTTGATGATACCCTCGCGCGTGATACGTAATGTCAACGGTGATTCTCCGGTCTCGTGTTACCGTAGCAGCTGACACATTGTAGTAAAGAGTTGATAACCCTTCACCGACCCCCAAATTAATATTTTCACCTCTCCTGGCAGCGTGCCCACGGGTTTAGAGGACGTATCCAAGTACCCGGATCTATTTACGGAACTGGCAAAACGTGGCTGGACAGACGAAGACCTTGGAAAGTTGGCGGGAAACAATTTACTCAGAGTGTTTGAGAAGGTTGAACAGGTATGTGTGCGTGCGCGTGCGTGCGTGCGTGCGTGCGTGCGTGCGTGCGTGTTTGCGTGCGTGCGCCAATCAATATGCTCACCATTTTGAACAACTTTTCCACTTACGATCTACTGAAATATTGAATTTACGATTTATTCGTAAGCTAAGATAACGGCACGAGCGACCAAGGTAAAGGCAGCCGACACGAGCAGGCGAAATCTATTAGTTATGATGACAGCATCACCCCCTAGCGGTAGTAAATTTAATTGTCTTGACAGATCATAATATCATAATCACAGTATCATTCCCACAATATCATAATCACAATACCATGATCAAAATCTACTGCAAAATCTACTGCACGTTGACTCTGGTCTGTCTCTATATCGGGTGAATATAACTGCGTGTTTTGCGTTGATGAAGGAGAGAGACAGGCTGAACACGTTGGCACCGTACGAAGAACCGCGTCCCAGCGGCTCCGATCCCGACCTCTGTGCAGCGATCGTAGCGCCGAACGGCGGCGGCGAGCCGAAACTCGGCCGCGTGACGTCAGCCATCGCAGCGATGTTGTTCGTGGGAAGGTTACTGTTAGGCCTAGAGTTATTATAGATCACGTGTGATGTGCGGCGATCGCCCTGGTTCGTTAGTACTTTAGCTGCGTGATGGATCTATGTTTAAGAAAACATATATCTATATGAATAAAAAGAATGCTATTCTGAGTTTGTGAAATCGCGTCAGATAACGAGGTCACGTGGCCTCCTTGACCCAAATACCATAAAGCAATATTAAATGAAGAAAAGAACAAATGTAGAACATGCTCACAACATACTTTTATTATAATATATAGAACGCTATATACTTATGCTATATATACCATATACCATAGTCCACTGGCGCCCACAGGTCTTAAGAAAGTAGAAGCACAGAATGATAAAATCCTCAGTGATAATAAAAAGCAAGCGCTGTAGGCGCGCTGCATGCTAGGGGGGTCTGGGGGCATGCCCCCCTGAAAATGTTTGAATGGTAGACGTCTGGAGATGCAATATGGTGAGTCTTGCGAGAGAGATTTAGGAAAAAAAAATTTTAACCCTAAATTTACTGGAAGCGCTGTGCTTCCAGTGCTTCTATCTGCGGGCGCCACTGTACCATACTATATATTCTAAATACTAGCAGCATATGCTAGATATGGGGCAGTCATACGATATATTATCTGCAGTAATACTATATACGATATAGTATATAATACGATATATCAATACCACAGTTCTAAATACTATAGGGCTCATCGAATGAATTTACAATAAACGTTTTATAATAGCAATGAACAAACAATTATAAGATAGCATGCTTTGAGATGTGTACGTGTAAATTGTGCAATAAATGGCGATATTGCCTATATAGCATCTTCAGCCGAGCGTTTTATCTGTTAGCCTGTACTATATTTACGCCGTGTTATCTGCGGCTGGCATTTGTACTACTTACTCTATACACGCTATCTCGCTATACACGCTCTCACTCAGGTATGTGGCATGCGCGCGCGCACACACACACACACATACACACACACACACACACACACACACACACACACACACACACACA